GGGAGTGGGAGTGGGTGTGGGTGTGGGAGTGGGTGTGGGTGTGGGAGTGGGTGTGGGTGTGGGAGTGGGTGTGGGTGTGGGTGTGGGAGTGGGTGTGGGTGTGGGAGTGGGTGTGGGAGTGGGTGTGGGTGTGGGAGTGGGTGTGGGTGTGGGAGTGGGTGTGGGTGTACATTGAGAAACGATCCACATCCGCACACCCTACACCCACACCACCTCACATCCACACCCACACTCACACCAACACCCGCCCACATCCACCCATATCCACACCCACACCCACATCCACACCCAAACCCACACCCACCACACCCACACCCCACATCCACCACACCCACACCCCACACCCACACCCTTGACATATTAATAAACAGACGACGAACACACGGCACTCGCGTATATTTTCATCATTCAATTTTTTTTTGTTATCGGATGAACGACAGAAAAAATTTGTTAAATATTCGAAAAAAAAACTTATATCACATACGTTCTTTTATGCTCGTTTTGGTAGCTTTAGAAAAAACAATATTCAAAAAACTCTTTTCGATGTATAAAGATATGAATTTATTACAATAATTCAAACTTCTTAATTTTACATTGACTATGATCATCACATGAGGAAATAAATGAGTAAGTTTGTTAAAAAAACCAGAAAAACTAATTTTTATTTTAGATCGTCATTACATTATATTTATTTGAAAAAGTCTTTTTTTTTCAGGATCTTATTTATCAATATGGTATTATATAATATTAGTTCGGTATAACACAATGTATACTTGATTAAACATTTATTATCTCGACCAATTATTGATCCATTTAAATATAGAATGAAAGACAATGAAGATGTGATAGTATCGAGATATTTTATTCAACTAAATAATTCTACATTCTATTGGACAAGAGGCTAATGTAAGAATTCCTCTCTTATTAGTTTCTTTTTTTAGCAATAAGAAATTCAGTCTTTTTATCATTTCCAGAATCTCTTCTATTATAATTATAATCGTAATGATATAATGAAAAAACAAGTTTATTTTCGTATGCTATCCTAAATGATACTTGAGTTAGTCCATGACGGCCAATGAATATCACATGTCGTATTGAAATTTGACGAAGCGTGTGAAGTAATATTAGATCAGTAATATCTATTTTAGCTCAATCATTAATAGATGAAATGAGAATTTTGAAGACAATCATCTTATAGTTAAAATTGAGCTTTTTCTATTACGTCTATTTGAAATTTTGCTTAGAATAAATTTAAAAAAATATTTTATTCGTCATTTTACAATTATATCATCAAAAAAATGTTAAATTGTCAAAAATATTATAACTAAGTTTAACAGATGTTCGGTTTATGTGTTTCCATGGTCCTTCTAATTATTAATCATATTTTGATCAATTCGAGTTAAATGTAATTTATTTAACATTGATTGTACATCAGTTAATTTAGTAAATTCATGAAATTCTACTATCATAAATGGTAATATCTTGATTGGTTCACGTCTACTAACAAGTATCATATGTCGTATTCGACTTTGATGAAAAGTATCAAGCAGCACTACATTAGTGATATCTATTTTAGCTAAATCATCAATAGACGAAAGGAGAACATTGAGGGCAATCAAGTTATGGTTGAAATTGAATATTTTCCGGTACATCTATTTAAATTTTTTTTTTACAATGAATTAAAAAATTTGTTTTTCATTTTAGTATTATACAATTCCACAAAATCTTTAACAGAAAAAATATTTCCTTTATATTGTTTCACTAGGAATATTTTATCTACGTTTAACAGATGAATCATGAGCAAAGATAATAGTATGATAAAAGTCTTGTAGTTGTTTTACACGTTCATTTTCAGTTGTTTAGCTTGAATATATACGTATAACGTTTTTATACTTCAGGATGAGCATATGCTTTCGTAATTATATCAATTATTGCTGGTATTGTCTGACGAAGTTTAAGTAAATTTTATGTCAAATACGAATCGACTTAACCACTGCCGACGGTACAAATACATATGACTGATGAAGAGAATATAGAATTGTTAGTAACTATTAAAAGTGATCGTCGAATAAGACAATATACAAAACATCATCGGATAATATGAGTAAGCGTGGACAATATATTAAAGATATAGTTCTAGAAAAAATATCCAGCGCATAACTTCTATGAAAATTTTTCATGGTAGCTTATTTGTAATTATTGTTCTTAAGATTATATGTGAATACTCGGAGTAAACACTCATTCTCAAATGACTTAGTAAAGTTCTTATGACTTATTCTTAAAGTTCATGGGATAAGAAAAAAATCTACTTGAATTAAAGGTCTAGAAACTCAAATTATTAAAGAATGATTTTTCATTCATTCTACGAAATAGTTTTGTGTCAAAAAATGAATTATCAGTAGAAATTAAAATTTTTCTATATGAATATGTTTTTTTTCATATTGAGTATATTTTGTTTGTTTTTCTAACTTCAATCATCGATCGTTCTCTTCTATTTAATTGTGAATCAGATGTTATATGCTCTTCTTCAAAATAAGTACGTGAAAAATTAGTGTCTCTAACAATCATTGCGACAATTTTATTATTCATGATTAAAAGAAGTATATTACAGTTTGTGTATTTATTCTAAATGGTATTCGAGCCTGTGGTAGAAGTGAAAGCCTCACAACTACATCTTGATAGATCAAAGCTTTTTCATTATGATAAAAAATAGAAGAGTAGAATACAAGAAGTGTTAAACTTACGAGAAACGAAATATAAAAACAATTCTTCAGATATTTCCTGATATTTGAAAAATTTCTTCATCTTATCGAATTATTATTCAATTGTCTGTTACACCAAACGAATTTATTATCATAATTCTCATATGCTATCATATAAGAAAATGTATTTGAAAATTCTAATAGATAATAACACTTATCGATTAGTGATTTACATTTTTGAGAAAAAAAATAAAAATTCCTCCCTTTAAATCCTACAAATAATGTTCTATTGATAAATTCTAGGAAGAATTAATTTATTTCAGGAATAAATCTTTTAAATAATTAAAATTATTTTCTTCATTTATTTACGAGAAAATTGTTTGAGACATGCATTCATTTAATAATTTGTTATTTATACAACAGAATTTTATTATTCAATGAGATATTTTTAGGCAGTCATATTCATGATGGAACGTATCAATTTTTGACAATATACTATTATTGTCTTTTCTATCAATAGAATAGTGAATGCTCTGAAAACTGTTGATTTTTACTTTTTCAAAATATTTTTTCTTATGAAAAACGTTAAAAGTTTAAAACGTAGTCAATCTGCAAACTGCACTTTTGTTTTTTTTCCTCACCCAGGCGAGCAAAGGACGGGTAAAAAGACTAGTCATTTTTCTAGTCGTGACTATGCGTCATGTCTAGTCTTTTTCTCAAAAAGTCCTACTACATGACTAGTCCAAAATGGTTTGGAATCTTTAACCCCGTCTGGACATCCCGTCCGAAAATAGATTTTAAATAAAAAAAAGCAGAGCGTCTGTGACGCGACATCTATTAGGTTTCAGTCTTATGTAGCGGTCTAGTTCGGACTAGTCTAAACGATAGAAATATGTGCAGAAAGTTAGATTCGTACATGCATACCTTGTGTTACTTACTCGTCGTCTACCCGATTGAGCCATATGATCTAGTGATCAACTTTTACATGTCAATACACATCTGAAGACACTAATTACTACAGTTTGACTCAGCGTTTTCTCAAGTTTTAATATTTATAGAAACTACTTGTAATAAAATCGAAAATTAGTTACATAAAGCTAAGCAAAATTAATTCAGAATTTTTTTAATTTCCTTCAACAGAATTTTTTTTTGATTATCGACATTTGGAAAACGTTATTTTCTATTGGAAAAAACAATTCAAATTTAAATCAAAATCAAAATAATAATATATATTTCAAAAAAAAATCTTGCTTTTCATCTCATGGTTTATGTTTATCTTAATTTAAAATATTTCCTATTTAAATTTGAAAATGAACTAT